GGAAAGCCAATTTACTCGCGAAAAGCTTCGATACTCGGGACGAAAACGTATTAATCGAGGATCGGATTATTGGCCACGCATTCGTCCTGACGCGAGGAGAGAGACATTGCATTGCATGGTATAAATACATATATATATTTGTTCGTTATAGTGGATCGGAGGAAGGCGCTTAGTTCAGTTTAGTTTCGATTCGATTCACGGGCCACGAGAAAGTGGTTTTATCAGGCGTGGTCGAACGTGGACGTGTGGTCGATCGAATCGATCCTGGCCAAGTGGATATCGATACGATACGAAAGGAGAAGAAGAAAAAGAAAAAAAGAAAAGAAAAGAAAAGGAAAGAAAAAACTGCGGGGGAAACGAGGTCAGAAAACGTGTACGTGTCTTTCTATCGGGCGTTCGATGGAACGTAAAGTTTCCAATAAACGCACAATATTAATAGGGCCGTTATTGGTCAACCGTGACACCGTGAAACCGAAAGAAAGAAACGATCGATTGCACAATTGCTTGTTCGCCGTTCGTTGAATAATCTATCGCGCCATATTTTTCTCCACGCGCCTTCCCTTTCTTCCTTTATCCTTCTAATGCAATTCTAATGGTTTCTCGATCGCGTAACTTCCCTTCCATTCCATCGTCGCGCGAGGAGATTCGACGGAAGGAAAGATCCTTTTGGCAACCGATTTCGTTACGATTTCGAAACGATATCGTTGGATATCGCCGGTGTCTAATTGGCCAAGAGTTTCGAGGGTGGCCAAGAGCGAAAAGAGGCGAGTGCAGCCGGCCGCTATCGCTTTATATATTCGAAACCGGTCAGGGCTAGCGAGAAAAGATACGGTGCGCGGGCGACTTTCGGATCGGCGAATTTTTCGCGTACGCCAAATAATATAATGGCTTTCACTTTGCGCGAGCCGGAAAACTAGCCTTGGCTGTGTTGTACGCGCACGGACGAGGAGTCATTCGGAAGCGCGGTTTAATTTAAAATTATGATTCAATCGTGTCCCCCTTCCTTTTCTCGCGTCTACTCCCCCATTATCCTTAATCAGACGTCTGGGTTAGCGTCGAATAATCACGATAAGGGAAGATAATGGCGCGCGATACAACGAAACCCGTTTATCGAACGTTCCGCTTAAGACCGTTTTATCAGGAACCGAGAATGAACCGAGAGATTTTTCTTTGGTAAACAGCGGGGGGATCAACGGTTGCACAATTATGTAGATCGGGCTCTCGAGAAGACCGGCATAATGTTATCTTTGTAAATATATCGCGAAGAATTTCTAGATGGAGGAGGAGCGAGCAAATCTTCCCTTTGTTCGCCAACTGCGAACATGGGATCGATGCTGGATGAAAAACCGTTGCGCGCCGTTAATGGGCCAATTTTGAATTTCTCCTAATAATTAACCGAATGTCCTTGTCCCTTACAATAACGTGACGCAACACGCTTTCCCAAGCTGTCGATGTTCTCTCGTTGCAACGAGACGTATCCATATCGTGATAGATAGGAGTCGAGATTATAGAAATAAAATCTCTCGATCGATTTGAAGAAAAAAAAAAAGAAAAAAAAAGGAAACGCGAAGAGCAAGATGATTTGAATCTCGTTTAGAAGATTCGTTATTGGCGTAATTGAAAATCGTCGAGGATAATGAAAGGCAACCCCTTTGCACGATTTCCAAGTTGCCGCCATTATACACCATGCCAACTGGAATTAGTAGGTTGAGGTAATAAGTAACAAGCGGCAGCAGCCAATCTATTTAGAAAAGAATCCAGGTTTCTTAAGGCCATTCAATGGCCCGTAATTCCAACTCTTTAGAACGTTCCAACGCTCCTTCTCGACGCGAGGTTTCCAGGTAACGACCTGGGTCATAATCTGGTCCAAGCGCTTCACCATTCTTAGATTTGCTGCCATTTCCTCTCTCTCTCTCTCTCTCTCTCTCTCTCTCTCTCTCTCTCTCTCTCTCTCTCTCTCTCTCTT